AGAGAGAGATGAGCGGGCTCTGTTGGCAGGCGAGGAGAACGGATCTCTGAGGTGGGCGATGGACGATGACTGGCGATAAATCCTGACGACGCCTGCGCTCGCTTCGAAGGCTCGAAGATCGCGGTGGCGTGACGACGGCTCTGTTGCAGGCGAAGGCGACTGATCTCGAAGGTGGCCTCCAGTGATGACGGAGAAGAGACCTCGTGACGACTCGCTCCTTTCGGAAGGTTCGAGTATCAGGTGTTTTTTCGAGGGGTATTGGGAACGCGGGCGTCGTCTCTCGTGGCGGCTGAGCAGACGCTCTGATGGCTGACGGAGAGAGAGAAGAGAGAGGAATGAGGGCGGAAGCGGAGAGGATGAACTCCGATGGCGGAACGGAGGAGGATGAGCGGCGTGGAATTTGGGATTTTTGAGAGAAGAACACAGATTTGGGAGGAAGAGAGAAGAAGGTCACGGGTTTTGCATTTGGGAGGAGAGAGAGACTGGCAGTCACGAGATATTTGGGAGGCATTTATCGCTGGGTTTTGGGGCGAATAAACGCCTGCAGAGCGCACGTTTTCTGTGAACTGGCTAGCGGGCACCTCCAGTTTCTCTCATATATATTATATATATATATATATATATAATATATATATATATATATATTATATATATATATATATATATATAGAGAGAGACGAGAGAGAGAAATATGGTTGCTTGGTACAAAGCACAAAAAAAGTTGTGCTTGGTAGTGAGGTGTCACATCTTCTTCAGCCTCATTCAAATGTAGGACCACATTCAAATATGGGTAATGAGTGGATGGAGATGTGAGCAATTGCACTATCGAAGCACAAAAGTTTGTGCTTGGTACCAAGCATACCCATATTTCTCATATATATATATATATAGTATTATATATATATAATAGAGAGAGAGAGTAGAGAGGGAGAGAAATATGGGTATGAGCTTGAAACCAAAACACAAAATTTGTGCTGTGGTAAGTGAGTATGGTCACAATCTCCTCCTACTCATTCAAGAGATGGGGGAAAGCCACATTCACAGGGTTGAGGAGTGGGCATGATGATATGCAACCAATTTGACATGAGTGGAGGGGATTATGTCACATCAGCTAAACCAAGCATTGGTTACCAAACGAACAAATTTATGTTTGGTAGTTGAGGTGACACAATCCGCTGACACTTATTCAAATGGGGGACCAACATTCACATGGTTTGAGGAGTGCATGAGGAATATGGCAACTATTTGAAATGAGTGATGGCAGATTTATATCCCATCAGCTGACCAAGGCTACAATCTTTTATGCTTAGTACCAAAAAATACAAAAAAAATACTCATTTTTCTTATGGTTATATAATTATATATAACCAAGAATAAACTATTTCTAAACAAAACCTAGAAAATAAACGGAAACCAAGAGATAAAGCGGCGGACTCGACAACCGTTTCCGAAAATAACGCAGAAAGAAATTATTCAAACGAACGTAGTAACGACACCGTCAATAAATTAATAAGCCAATAAAATAAGAAAAAATAAATAAAAAACAAAGAAAAAGAAAAGACCTCCACCGAACACAGCAAAAGAGAAAGGGGCACTCCTCTCATCTCTCTGCTCTCGCTCTACCATCTCAAAGAGAGAGAAAGAGGATGTCCCTTTCTCGAAGGATGGCGCTGGTGCTTCCCCAAGAAACGCGACTCGCCGTCTTCGTCCCGCTGCTTGATGCGCCGAAGCGAGCTTCGCAGGCGAAGAAATCGAGGCGGCGGCGCGATGGACGGCGAAGGATCGTGTCGGAGATGCCCCGAGATTCTGAGCAGATATCATAAAGAGGGTGGAGGAGAGGCGGAGAATCGATGGCCGACGAGGAAAGAAGCGTCGTTTCTTGCGCTTGCGTTTGTAAGCGGGGAAGGATGGAGATTGTTTTAGGGATTGTGAGGCCTCCGGTTGAGACTGGAAGGATTACCTTTCCTTTTTCTCTCAAGCAGGTTTGTGTTAGATTCTTTTTTGGGGGAATTTTAGGTTTTTTGTTTGTATGTATTCCGTGTGGATGGATCTGTAGGTTGATTTTTTTTTTTCTTTCGATGGTTTGATTCAGGCGGGGCCGAGGGAGACGCCGATGCAGTGCTTTATTAAGAGGAACAAGAAGAATTCCACGTTTTATTTGTATCTTTGTTTGACCCCGAGTAAGTGTTTTGGGATCTCAGATGCTAGGTTAACAAAATGGTTAGTTTTGGATGTGGAAATGGTTTATCTTGAAATAACTATTAATTTGATCTAGTAAATGGTCCTCTTATAAGTATAGCTGAAGAGAAGAAAATGATTCATGGAGTCTCCAAAAAGTTTGGGATGAAAGGGGTTGACCTTGTTGATGTTGGTGTTGTTGTATTTAGTCTTATTATCCTCAAAATATGTGCTACGTTTATGCGCACAACGTTATTTATCTACAGGATTTCATCTAGGTGGATTTGCATGTGATGTTGAGACGTTAAACATTCTTATACTACCCTTGTTTCTTTGTAACTTGTAAATGAGAAGTGGGATCTCTTGATTGTCTTTTTTACGTGGATGATATCACGGATGTGTGTTTTGTGATATATATTAGGTTATACCAGAATTCTTCGTTTTATAACATCTTTGTTTTCTAGTATAGTTTTGGACAGTTTAATTCTTACTCTTTATTTTAGGCCTTTGATGTGTGATA